GAGAAGAAATTTAAACCCTCTAGGCTAGACTAGAGGCGCAACCAGTAAATACCCCCTTAAACAGATTATAGGCGGAAGTAGCCGCGGACTACCTACTACCAGACCCTAAGAAGACAGTCCTGCGCCCCAGAAAAAAAACCCAACTATATCTAAATTAGTACTATACTAACCCTAGACTAGAATATTGATAATAACTGATTCTCAAGAGCCCTGCCAACAGAGGTAGTAAATATCCATATTTATACTACCCTTCTAGATACAGAGACTACCAAAGAGATCTAAGTTACTGGGATCAGTACCACCAAAACCAGTTATATTATCTAATTCCGGGATGCGCAGTCCGCAGAGGCCGCTCAGAATAATACTAAGTAGCTAGAGGATCTAGAAAATAATACTAAAGTAATTAAACCTCGGTTTAGGATTATAGTCTACTGGGTTCTGACTAAGAACTTCAACCTGGACATTGAAAAGAAACAAGAGATTAGAAAATCACAACTAAGAATAATCTTAAGAATAAGAAGATCCAGATCAAGAATATTATATAGCTAAAGAAGAAAGATAGACTACTAGATAAATCAGTATTTATAGAAATCTGGCTGGATATACCTAAGGCCACTGAATAGATTATTAATAATAGACTACTGGTGGGACAGAGATTTATTAGAAGTATAGAAGTCTACTAGGTAGAAAGAAAGTAGTACTACCACTGCTAGCAATTCAGCCACCTAGTATAGTCATGTAAGGAATAGGTCAAATACAGATACTGTATAGGCTAATATGATCAGTGATACTACTTCTCTGGTATAAGACCATAATGCTTAGATTGTAATAGAGAACACCCGACAGGTGACTGAATGTACTAGGTAGTCTTAACCTCCAGGCTTTCTTAATAACAGCAAACCTCTATATCTTACAGCTGAATATGATGAAATCCAGGGTAGGAATAGAGGCCCTTATCAAAGACTATACTACTTAAAATCTAGATATACTTCTGATTCAGGAACTACTAAAAACAGCATACAATACCCATGTCAATCATAGTATATAGAGACTCTATCAGCCCACGTCTACTGGTAAACCAGATACTAAGATAAAACAACTATACAGCCTTATTTATATTAACTAAAGAATTTCTATATCCTCTTATCGCCAGGTCCACTGCAACCACTGAAATATAGTAGCTGTTAAAATATAGATATCTAAACTACAGTACTTGGTGTTTTTAATCTATATTCTACTGATTAAGATATATAAGATCTTCGAAGCTAGTAGCACCTCTCAAGTCCTAACAGAAATCCAATAGACTATTCAATAAAATAGTGAATCAGGCGATCGCACTACTAAACTAATTCTAGTAGAAGACTTTAATCACTACTACCTAGTATAGAGCCACTACAAAATATACTATTACTTTGTAGTATACGCGGATAAATTAATTAACTTTTTCTACTATCTAGAGTTACAGTGGTGCCTGGGTCCAGACAAAATAGTATTTTAGTCTCTTAGTAAATCTAGTACAACTTCAGTACTGGACCTTATACTTACTAATAATATGATACGGCTGGTTAAGTACTACTTGTACTATAAAAATTATAGATTAGACTATTAAGTAATATACTCAGAGTAGAGTCTTTATCTAGAGTAGGTAAAGAAGCCTAAATTAAAATAAGTATACAACTGTGTAGACTGGTCTCGAGTGGGGTAAAATATACTAAGAGAGATAGACTAGTACCCAAGGATCCAGACTAACAGAGACTTAGACTATATAGTAGAAAGGCTGATCTAAACCATAACAGCAGCTCTAAACCAACATATACCAGTACAGGCACTATATTCATATTCAAAATACTGGTTTACTCCTATACTTATGATACAGCAAGTAGAAGCCAACTAAGCCAGAAGAAAGTAGTAAAGTAGATATACTATATTCAGAGCTGACTACCCAAACACAAAGTCTATGTTCGAGACAATGCAGGCGAAAAGAAGATAGTAGACACGAGCTGTGGAAAAAGCAAAGATAAGCTATTAGAAAGAGTTTCTTGATAAAGTAGAGGAGGCTAGCTGTGGAAGACAGCTACCTATATGCGCCCGCGGGATGCCTATATAAGCATACCAGCCATCTAAGCAGGAGCTGAGGAGATAACAGACAACTAATATAAGATAGAGGTATTTCTTAAAATCTTCTTTTTAAGAATAGCTAAACTAGAAATCAAAGAGGTCAACCCAGCCGAAGAACTACTATAAAAGATAATTACTAAGAAAGAGGTCTTCCAGTCTCTCTAGACAATAAAGAAGACTATAGCCCTGGGCCGAGACAGAATCTCTATACTAGTCTAGAAGAGTCTATAGATATTCCTAAAGAATATAATCACCGCTATCTTTACAAGATTGGTGGATCTGGGATACTACCTGAAAGAATAGAAATAGATGTGGATTATTGTCCTCCGCAAGCCTAGTAAGCCAGATTACTCTGTGCTAGGAGTATATCACCTGATCTCCCTGCTTAATACACTGGGAAAGTTGCTAGAAGCTGTTATGGCCCGAAGACTCTTATACTAGGTAGAGAAATACAAGCTGCTCCCGGATACTTAATTTAGAGGCAGGCCGGGACGCAATACTAAGTAGGCCCTGCTGGTACTGGCTAACACAGTTAACTAAGTATAGATACAATCTAGAGTAGTAATACTAATTATATTTAATCTAAAAGGCGTCTTTAATAGGGTTAGTAAGACTACCCTTGATATGCATCTACAGGCGAAAGGGATACTATTAAAGACTCGACAGTAGATCTTTAGCTTTATAGTAAGCCGAACAGCCAGCATAATACTAGATAATTTTGAATTAGATAATACCCCTATAGAAAATATAGAGCTAGCTCAGGGTTCTCCACTCTCACCTATCCTGTCTGGATTCTATAATTCAGACCTGGTTAATCAGCCGGTCGACAGTAATAGCGGGGCATTAGTATTTATTAATAATTATTTCTAGTGGCGGACTAGTACCTTAATAGAGAATAATATTAAGAGAATTTAGAAAAAAGATATTCCCTGGATTAAATAGTAGGCGCGGAGAACAGGTATATTATTTATAGTAGAGAAAACTGAGCTGATCCACCTTATATAGCACAAATCAGCCCGTGGCAAGGGCGAGATTACTATAAATAGGAAAGTAATTAAACCAGCAGATACAGCCAGACTCCTGGGGGTTATCTTTGATACAGAGATGCGATGGAAAGAACATGTATAATATATAGTTAAATAGGCAACTAAAAGGATTATTACTCTGAGTAGGCTTTAATACCTTCAACCAGAGTAAATATACCAGCTCTACTAAGCGTGCGTCACACCCACTATAGACTATGTATTAACCGTGTAGTATGATCTGCTATATAATAAAACACACCTACAGCTCTTCGAGATACTATAGTGAATAGTACTTATTTATATTCTCTCTGTCTTCTGAACAGTCTCTACCAATGTTCTAGAAGTTAAATCTCATATACTGCCTACTTATCTATACCTGAAGCTGCAAGTACAGATCACAGCAGCCCGGTTCAGCACCCTACCGGACGATCATCCAGTGCGAGGAATCATAAAATGAGCCATAGAATATAGTATATATATTTATAATATGGCACGTTATCTACTAGCAGAGATAATATAAATAATAGACTTGAGGCGCCTGCAGGCTCTTAAGACTATTAACCCAAGACTACTAGTACTATAGTAGAAGTAACTCTTTGTTGAGATTGATATTAAGTCCAACTAGAAGAAAGCGCAGGCCAGAGTACTAGTAAAATAAAAATTAGTAATCAGTATTACAGTCTTCTCAAATGCCTTAGAAAAGCAGAATCAACTAGGTATAGTAGTAGTAGCTCTAGACTATAATCTATAGGTTCTAAAATCTCGACAAATCAGCATTAGCTTAATAGAGTACTGGTCAGTCTATACAGCCAAGCTTATAGTAATCTACTATACTATTAGACTAGTTTTCCAACTAGTACAGAGAAACCAAGGGGACTCTATAATAAATTAATAACTAGTAATAATCCTCAGTGATAGTATATCTATCCTGCAGGTAATCAGAAACTTATAGAACAAATTAGACTAGTATATTATCGAGGCTATTCACTACTCAGCTGGTGAGCTGAAAGCCTGAGGTATTCTATTACAACTGTAATAGGTGCCAGGCTACTGCGGGGACCCTGGAAATGAGATAGCCGACCGGCTAGCCAAGAATATAGTAAATATAGAAAAGAAGTACTTCTTTAAACATCTTCTCTCACAGGAGAAAGAATATATACATAGAAGAATCTACCAAGAGTAGAAATAAGAATAGAGAATCTTAAAAAATAGAGAATACCTATACTGTATTAACCAAGGTCTACTATTCAGTAAGTCTTATCGTCTATATAACTTGCTTCCTCGGAATTAAGTATATCTACTTATACAGCTCTGTACAGGCCATTCATGACTGGCAATATATAGTAAACAATATAGATTCCGGGCAGACAAGCAGTGCGAGTGTGGAGCCACTAAAACAGTAGTATATATACTTATTGACTACCCGCGGCTTAGTACTATATATTAAATACTATAGTAGAAGATTAAAGAAGCCTTAAATAATATATTAGATATACTAGAAGAAGCAGATTAAGATAGGGAATATAGACTACAAGATATCCTGTCGGACAGTAGCATCCTTAGGGCGGTTCTGGACTTCGCGGAGGTATTATAGAGATTTCGAAGTTGCGCGCCATGAGGGCGGTAGAATATAACCCCAGGCACCAGCCTACATAGGCCTTGACGAGGCTCCAAGTTCGTCAGAAAAGTAATAGTTCACGTTCAAAGATATACATAGAGAGTATAGATAGTGGATCCTGCATGTAGCCTTAGGCGAGGGGTCAGCGTATGAATCATCATCATCATCGACTGTATATTCCACTGTCTCTCAGCCTATGGCCTGGAATATGGTTATCGAGACGCTCGAGAAATAAAACCCTCGGCTTTTTCCCTGTGCCACCCAAGCGCACTTGCCCATATTAGGTCTTGGTTTCGTGTTATATTATACTGATTATCATAAAGCATCCGCTATTCGACTTCTTGTAATGACCGTATTCTTTTTGCCAAGAATACCCGCTATTATTCAGTCTCTGATGTCTACGGAACGACCAATCGTGGTAGTCAAACGATTCTCTCCTCAATCAATATTGCACCCCTGGAGGACACTTGATGGCTTCACTAGGCTCTAGACCTTGATTGGTCCTGGGATCGGCCTCCGTGCCGTCGGACAGCTCACCAAGATGCGGTTTGAGGAAGAGGAGACGGGGAGCAGGGTCGCTGCCAATGCTGTTAACCCCAGATAGAGCACCCTCCCAGAACGTGGCGAAGGCAGCAATCTCGGCCGCCCTGTCAAGTCCATTAACGATCCGGCGGGCATTGATGTAATCCTGTATAGGCCCCTTCTTTAGCTGCTCTGCCTAAATGGAAGTTTAGCTGATTGTACCTTGTGATCAAAATCTGTAATGTAATCGCCGAGCTTCTTGCCGGTGAAGCTACCCTTGGACATCCCATGCACGATAACAACAAGAGATACATCAGGTCTGAGAGCAATCTCAGGGTGGGTGACCATGTCCAGACTAAGCAACTTGCTATACTTATCATAGTTTTCTATGCAAAGAGTTAGCATTGTAAGTCATGACCTGCCAAAGGATGCCAACCCACCCTTGTGGGTAATCTGCACATAGCCGCGGCCATAATAGGGAGCGTAAGGTTTATTCTTCCCTCCAATCTCTTCGATAGGGCTGAATTTAGATTCCCACTCAGCCGTTGCTAGAATATAGGCGATCTGGAATTTGTTGATCCCCCAGGCAAGGCCTGCATGCATGCCCAGGACATCTTGGTTTCCAGAGGCAAACTGAATGATGGAGATTATGGTATCGAGCTGGGGTTCAGTAAAGCGTTTATCTGGAAGTCGAGGGCGTCATCATCTAGACTGCATATAGGTCGGCCGCGAAGATTATAACTCACAAGCCATGGCACCCGTTTCGTCGCGAGTTTGGATAATTTGGAGGCAAATGAATAGAATGATACAGGGTCAGTAGGGTGAATATAACCAACACTTTCATTGCACCTGCTCAACTATTTATGCACCGTATAGATACAAATGGGTCTGTTATATGTACTCGGCTTCCATCATCATCTCTCGTCATCGATTCTGAATAGGTTAAAGAAAGTGAGGTCAGACATCAGCAGTCACACCTGTTAAATCACTCAGAATTGACTTTAGTATTCTGATGACAAGATAATAACTGGTACCTGTTCTAGGCGCTTTATGTCATGTTGAAAGCGTGGGAGACCATTTATCGAATGAGGCTAGATTGTCAGAAGTCTGCATAAACCAGAGCCAATAACTAGCATAAGTAACCAAAGATGGAAAGAAGTAATCTTAATTCAACAATAATGTAGCGCGAACCCAGGTTAGATTTGCGGTTTGAATGAAGTCAACTGATCACTCAGCCCACACCATTCCGCAAACACTAAATAGAGCCGGGTCAGACCCTTTTTTTGGGTTGTAGGCCTCTTCGCACGAAACTCTAATTTCGCGTCATGATGACATTCTTATTTTGGTCTCATAATGGGGTACTCATGGGTTCACCGGGGCCCCAGCCAAAAGATAGAACTCGATACAGTCGAACAGTTGTTCACAGGACCTTATTAGTTGTTGCCCGGTTTCCACCCAGCAGTGTTATAGTAGGTTAAGCCATCGCCGAGCAAACCAAGGATGAAATATGTTCTTAAATTCCGTCGATCTGCAGCCTCTAATTATAGTGTATCCAACAATTTCACCAGCGTCTTGTATTGAGGGACATCGGACTTAGGCAGCTGCATAAGGCATTTATCTAGTAAACGCATAACTTCGTACGGTACCTTACGCGTTTCATGTTTTGTAAATTATGAAAGCTACTGCCGCCCTCATTTAAATGGGGTGGGTTCAATATAATATTCAAACTAACTTCTTGGCAGTGGGGCTGGAAAACAATTATCAAGTGGCTATAGGTCAGACCGATTTCGAGAATCACTGTATTAAAACGCTTTAATTTTCATAAAGACTTTCGAACTCAAAGAGCTCCAACTGAACCTTGGCACTGTGAAGGTTCTCCTTAAGTTCCTCAACAATCTTTTTTCTTATCATAGCAATGACATCCGTGTTGTAGTCCAGAGCTGTTCTCATGATTACTGACCTTGCTGTTGCAAGGACAAAGACACTATAATCATTACTATTATCTTACTGTGGGGAGATATAATCTCTAATAATCTATTCTAAACCAGCCCCGCTCTTATACTCTATATCCAGCCACTTTTAAATTTAATGAACATGGTTGTCCCTAAGACCATGAAGAAAGTTGTATCTTTGAATCACCCAAGTACGAGGATGCAGAACAACCAGGGTCTAGTATTATCTAATATAAATAGGTATAAGAATAATATTAATATCTAATAGTATCTACAAGCCCTTCTAACTAACTCCCGAATAGTCTTATTCCAGGTTGAGGGTGAAGAAGAAAGAATCAAGAATATAATAAGTAATATACCCAGTCAAATTTGTATAATCTTTGAGCAAAGACAAGTATACATAGATAATATTATTATTAAGCTATTATCCTGGCTTACAGGTACGCAAATCCTCATTAGATATCTGGTAACAGGGCGAGACTCCTTTGTTGACAGGCTTATCTAGTAAAGTTAGTATCTACACTGGTTCCTAATTAGATAGACTAACTATCAGTATATATTATTAAATTAACAGAGTCTTTAATATTTACTAGTAGTCTCATCACAGCTCGGTGATTACCTAGAGATAGTTAGTATTATTCAAAAGACTTTAAGAACTCTCACCTTGCGGTTTAATACACATATTCTTAGACCTTATCTTAGATAATCCTTTCTAAAGTCTTCTTCTAGGCCTCTAGAATAAAGTTATTATCTTTCCTTACTATTTATTATAATTACTGTAAGCTATAGTAATAGAACTGCTTATACTTATCTAATTATTACTAAACTTCTCTTCTTTCTGAATTCTAATATCTAGATTACTCAGCTTCTCATCTAGACCGGCTTGTTAGGAGTTTACTGATTCTAGAGTATTAATTTTATTCTTATTATTATTCAAATCAGGCATCTCAGTATCTAAATAAAAATTAGAAATATCTGAAGTCTATGCTATATTAGGGTTTGTCTTTATCTTAAGGCACCGAGTGATTGGTAAGTATACTAGTATCAAAGGGTTTCGAAGATAATACAGCGTCGATGCCAGATGAAAGAGGATTACTATTTTTTTAAATCCCTGGACTAGAATAAGTAGAAAGGGTCTGGGGCTTAACTATTAGGGGACTATTAAGAGCTGGAGCATCTCAAGACTTAGGTATCACGGATCGATGCAGTAATACATTACTAGATATAGGACAGCAACTCATAAGTATAGCTCTAAATTTATATAATTTCTCAATAAGTAGTATAAAATCCGATTGTAAAGTAGTATATTTATATTATATTTAGATAATCACGTCATCATAGGTTATAATATTAATAGAAGTATTTCCTTGATCATCTCTCCAGGGAATCTGTTCTGACGGATGCTCGGTTGTGCGGATCAATACTAGATACTGGGATGCCAAAGCAGACAGTGTACTACAGTAGCTATAATTTTTATTTGCTATCTTTCTGTATAATACTTAATGAAGTCTAAAGTTGCGCACCTGAATTTTTTTATAGTAACTAGAATATAGATGCCATTCTTCTGCATAGTTGTATCTTATAAAGTGTCGCTGGCGAACCACTGATCTTAGTAGATAGGAGCAAAAGGAACATTGATTCCTACTAAACTTCATTGTGAACATGCAGCAGTTGGTGAGTGAATCAGAAGAACTACCAGAGCTAGACAAGGTAAAAGAGCCAGAAAAGCCAGAAGAGCCAGATAAGTCAGGAAAGCCACTTCAGCCAGGTGAGCCAGATAAGCCATGTCAGCCAGGTGAGCCAGGTAGGCCACGTCAGCCAGGCGAAGCCAGATAAGCCATGTTAGCCAGGTGAGCCATGTCAGCCAGGTGAGCCAGGTAGGCCACGTCAGCCAGGCGAAGCCAGATAAGCCAGGTGAGCCAGGTGAGCCAGATACGCCATGTTAGCCAGGTGAGCCATGTCAGCTTAAATAAAGCAACGGTCGGGTTTACTGGCTTAGTATTGTTTCATGCTAGGATTGCTGAAACAATTAAAGAGTATAGGTGGTGACACCAGTATCCGGAAGGCCGGTATACAATGCCCTCACTATTGTATCTATCCATAACATAAGTCGGGATTATAACTTTATATTCAGTACGAATGTATAATAATATTGCTAATTCTGAATCATAATAATGACCATCTTAATAAACTTTCCAACCAAGCTTCTATATTATAATTAACAAATCTCAGCTTCTAATAAGTAGACTAGATGTATAAAATAAAAACTTACCCTAATATAGAAATGCGCAAGATGATAGATTGATGAAATTCAAATCATATTAACTTTCTTATTATCTCTGTCATCCCCACTAATCCCCCATAGGCTTAAGTAATTCTTCTTAGATTCTTTAAGATAAGTATTAACCTGGATAAGATACTCCTCAATCTTATAGAATAAAAAATAGATCTGCTCTTGAAATTGTTATAAGACATATTTAGATTCTTTATTCTATATAAGTTCTACTTTAAGATAGCTGATCTTATAGAATAAGTCCTTAATCTATTTATCTTTACTCTAGTATAGGGACTTTAACTATTATAGTCGTGATAAAAGTCGCTTGATATTAGATATTATACCTCCAAAGTAGAATACTTAGTAATCTAAGGGCCTGATCTCCTCTCTAATAGAATATAATAAAGGTGGTAATCTAGACATAATCTAATATAATTCTTTCATATACTCTGAACATGAGATTCTGATAATATAAGATGATATATATATAGAGTGATAGAGAGAAGTAGAAAGTAGCTAGTCCTAGACTAGTAGCTGTAATACTATATAATACACTAGTATTTAAATAAGGACATATTATATATATAAACAGTAGATAAGAAAAGTAGAGAATAAGGCCTCTCTTATACTAATATATAATATAACCAAAAATCATTCTTACTTCTTATCTCGAGAGATAATAGATAGAATTATTTATACTCTATCTTCATATTCTGCAGCTACAATATATAATGCTTTAAGTATAGCCCCCTATATAAAGAATCTTGCATGTCAAAGGTTATAGACAGCAATTTTTAAGGATAAGAGATAACTATAAGAAGTTACTGATCACAGTAGCTATCCTGTCCTAATTAGAACAGGTCTAGATAGTCTATACTATATAGGCCAAGCCCATCCAACTCAAGTAATCCTACTTCCTGGAAGTTATAAGGGGGAAGAGAGTTACCTAGAAAGTCTACTACTTATATTACTAAAGAGTAACTATATCTATAAGAAGAGAAAAGGAGAAATCAAGTTCCCAGGAAGTTGTCTTAGGATTCGGACTGTGATAAGGCTATTATAAGAAGTATATCTAAAGAAGAAGTACTTAAAGTAATTATTCTAGAGCCTAAGAACAGAACTTACTACAAAATTCAGCTTCTATAAAGCTGGAAATATAAGATTATTTTTGAGTTTAAGTATTATTAACATGGGTATTAGATCGACTGAGACTAAGATAGTAGATCCTATATATATTTTTATCTAGCATTAGCCAGAGAAATGCTGGATAAACTTCTAGTAGAGTTCTTATCTGTTGGAGAGCTCTTAAATAAGCTAAAATCTCCCCAGAGCTTACTACGGAGTACTGTAATAAAGTTGTGAAAATTACTCTTTACTTAGTAGCTCTTATCTTGAATACTAGTTCTATATATTGTTATTGCTTATTAATTGCTATGCTACGTGGTGCAGAGAAATAATAAGAGGTCATCTATATAAAGAGAAAAGTAAATTAAAAGTTGACAAAAGATGGAAAGGTGCTTTTAAAGAAATATTATATATATACTAGTAAAATAGAATACTACTAAGCTGGTAATAATTATCAGCTTGATGGCTTATTAACTTCTATATATTAATTTCAATAGCTCTGGTAAACTCATATGTATAAAGAAGCTGTAGACTATTAGTGTAAGCTATAGTATCTCTAAATTAAAGTATATAGATCTATTATTTTCCTTATTCTGCTTAAGCAAGTTTCTGAGCAGATTGTTATAAAAGGTTTATTATATTTATAGGGAAATAGTGTAGGAGGGATTACTCTTTTTATTAAGCTAGTCTACAGGTCTTCTTGATATATACTGTCTGTAAAATTATAGTCTTATGACTGTCTCTTCAGTCTTGCTTCTTAATTAATTTGGATAAATATAGATCTGCAATTAAGCTATTATTATAACTATTATCTTTTAATACTAGGATGCAATACTTTCTCAAAATCCTTATCAAATACAGACCAGCAAGTAATAATTGAATACTGTAAAGTATAAATAAATACTAATTAATAAAAGCCTTTGAAGAGATAGATTAGCTTAAATATTTTTATATAATTGTTTAGACTGATGTTTTAGAATCCATGTAACTAACTTGATTATAAAGTATATATATACTGAGCCCTATAAGAGACTAGCCATCGGGCGTTGAGTCTCAACATACTACTGAACCAAGTACACCACGTGGGCTTACGTGATATATCTATATTTTACTATTAATAATAGATTCATAATTACGTTGCTATAGTTATATTTCAAATAATATACTTCACATCCCTTGGTCAAGGTTTATCACAAGTCACCGCATAGCCAGGACCTCGTAAGGAAGAGTTGGTAAGGAACAGCTGAGGCTTCCTAGATAAGTATATTAGCAGTACAGTAGATACCAGAAGCTAGTAAAGCAATTTGAACCAAGGCTCTATACAAAGGCTGTAATAGAAGCTTATTAAAAAAGTAGACATTAACTAAAAGCCTCAATTAATTACTGTATAAGTCTCTGTCCCCTCAATACTAGGTACTAAAGGCATCCCTAAGATACTCTTATTCCCACCAGTTCCCCAATCTTTACTCTTACTACTGCACTCATCCTCCTACTCCTTATTACTATTCTCAGGAGGAGTATAAATATGGCCGAGTATCATCTTAATCATATATTGTAGAGTTTGAATAGTTGACTCATATACTAGTTTAATATTTTGAAGCTTATTAATAATATATTATTATCTATAGATTTCATAAGATAACCCATGTATCTGATCTTAATAATTGAAATCTCCCAAAGAACCCGGCATCAGCATTTTAAGTAAACTATTATTAAGCATACTTAAAGTTTATATATAACTTTCTAGTTCTAGAACACACCACTTCTCCGCAGCATGCTGATTTCAACTACTCTCTAGATCCTAGAAGACTTGAGTAAAGTAAAGATACAGTTAATTATAGATAAAATAAGTATTTATAAGTCTAGTCTATAATTATAAATAAAAAAGCTGCTCTGACTTAGCTTATAAGATCTCTTCAGCAAGATATAGCTTAAGATGACTTTAACATATTCTAGACTAGTCTTCTTTTTTAAGGAAGTCCTTTACTAGCTACTCAATGTTAACACTAGGGTGAGTGTAATCCTGAAAGATAGTTAGAATTATTAAAGAATAATAGGGATATCCTTTATCTATATACTATTAACAGATACTTCAGGCTCCATCTTAACAAAGTCTTCTTAGTGTTTACTTTTTTTCTATATAATATTTTATTATCCTTTTTTAGAGCATAATATGGCTTCTATATATATTTTTTAGGCTGTCTCAAGTCTGATATGGTATACAGGGCTGTATTACTACTTGTTCACCGCCTGAGATAGTTACTATATTTTATTATCCTTACTAAAAGTCAGATAGATGGTTGGGATTCTTATAGATCAATGTGTTTACAGGTACTAGGATATTTGAAAGACAATTTTTCTATAAACTTTATATTCTATATAGGTCTTAAGTCTTCTGATATATATCTAATACTTTATAATAAATATTATAGTAACCTATAAAGATACTAATCACCTCGACACCTTAGTATAAAGTAATAGATGTTTTATATTCTCTTAAGTATTATGGTAGTAAAGGTGCTAAATATGTTACTAGAGCTCTATTTCCTATCTATAATCTATATATTCTTCTACTTAAAACCCTTTAAAAATCCTATTGTCTTTCTGCGTCAGGCTCTGCAGCATTAGTCTAAACTTGCTGTTGACATTTGTAAGTAATCAGTATATAAAGTTAATCTATTGTTCCCTTATAGTAAGCTGATTTTATAGGTGTAACAGGTGGATCTATATTAGATAATAATTCTTAAGAATTATTATAGTCTCCTAATAGAAAGTCTTAAGATTCTCGATTTTCTTATTAAAAGCAGCGACTTCACCTGGAAAGTGACTTAGCTGATTAAAAGCTGTTATAACTTTCTTTGATTCCTTAGTACTCTCTATAAATACTCTAACAAGGAGTTTACTGCAGTAGTTAGATAGTAAAATACTAATTAAGATAAATACTAACTTAGTTGAGCTGTCTTTCTTAGTCTAGTTTATAAATAGACTAGTCTTTGTACTTGAGCTCTTGTTTTTATTTTTGTTCTCAACTATAGCTTGATCATATAACACACTTCTAGACTGAGTCAGGTAGATTCGATATTATAGGAAGTAAAGCTTACCTTGCCTGCTAATCAGAGTAATACTTAGACCTCGATCTGAGACACGCCAAGAGTCCTTCTTAATAAGCTTTAGGCACTGTAGAAGTTTTGACTAAGTTAGGGGAAATTGTTGAGTTTATAGAGGACTATATCTCTAGAGGTAATAAATCAAGTAGTAGTATATCATCATCATCAAACAATTTAGATATATCAAATTTATAATATTCAAACATGTTGCAAACATAAATCCTACCTATTATTTATAGTATGACCTACGTGCTTAAGGCCTCTTATATAATAATTTGCTATCGAGGAAGCACTTTCTTAATTTATTACTAGCAGTATGGTTTAAAGGATTATAGATATATCTTGGTTTACCGCCAACAGTAATTAATCTAAACAAAGACTTAGTCTTCGGGTATCCTGCTCTACACTGATTTGCTATAGTAGGTCTACTTGATAAGTTATTAGATAAGGTACACTTATTCTTGAGTAAGTATTTTAAAAAGCTGAGAGATATGAAATTAGGCAGCTAAAATTTGTATATAAAGTATAGCTAAACTATCTTAAGTTCTTTGAATATAGCTACCTAACGCTTGAAATTAGAGAGATCCTACAATGCGCCTGAATGTTAGTACAGAATAGCTTAACATTGACACGAGCCAGGAGGGTGTTTTTATTTAAGATTACAGCCACCTGGAATAGGTTACTCTTAATCTAGCTTAACATAGTAAGTAGACACCTCTTCTCACGCTATTCCTTGGAAGTCATACTAAAGAGACCGCACTACAATACTTATTTTCTAGTAATAATATAAGAAGAACCCGGGCAAAATCTATAATAGGATTGAAATATGATTTACTGTCTGCAAATAATCTAGAACCAATCCTTATCGCTGACGGCGAACCAGGAAAAGTACTAGTTAATTTAGATCAGGATGCTTATCTTCATAAGGCTTCTGACTATCCTATAACATAGGGCCCA